ACTTTGTAAACTGCAAGCCTCACTGCATTAAGGTATATCTTCCAAACCATCGATTTTTTTTGTCTGTTTATGGTGGACAAGGTAAAGAGTAGAGAAGAAAGGTACCGCTATGATATGAAGAAGCTGTGGGAATAATGAATTTGAAAAACTGGGTAAAATTTAAGTTGTATTTTTTTTTTGCGTTGTAAATGGTTTTCTTGTAGAGGTGTCGAGATATAAGAAAAAGACTTTAAGTTTTATAAGATGATGGCGGAGAAGGAGCACAATTTGTCAAACGTAGAAGTGATGAGATATAGTAGACAAATCTTGGTGCAAGAATTCGGTGTTCAAGGTTAAACATTTTATTTTATTCCACTTCATGAGTAATTATTTCTTTAGTATTTGTATTTATTAAGTATTTGTACATATGTTGTAAATGTAGTTTCGCTTACTTTCTTACTTTTCTTTGGAGTCGTACGGAAAGGCACATTCAGTGTGGAAGTATGTCCACTTGTTTGGTTATAATGAACTTGCATTTGTAGGATTCGTAAATTGACTAATACATTTGAAAGCATTATGGACTTGTATGAATGTTTCTTTTTGTACGTTTTCCTACTGAACATCTTTCTAATATTTCAGAAAATAAGCGGAAACTTTTTCCTTCAGGTCAGGAAAGACTTCGAGCCACTTCATTACTGATTGTTGGTGCTGGCGGTTTGGGATGTCCTGTCGCGCTTTATTGCGCTGGAGCTGGTGATATTTATAAAGTTGCTTTTTTGTAATGTCTTAATTCTAACATATTTGTGATGAATATAAATTTTAGGAGTTGGTCGAATTGGTATTGTGGATGGTGACTTTATTTCCTCTAACAACCTTCACCGTCAGATTGCTTATGATGAACACTGTGTAGGCCAGTCAAAAGCAGAATCGTTAAAATCATCAGTTAAAAGGTGCGGTAGAAGTCCGCAATTTCTGTAATACTGAGGTGACATTTAATGTCATTGTCATAATAAGCTTTGACCAGAAGAACTTAACTATTTGATTTTTTTTTTCTCTGTTTTATTTTATTTGTTCAGTAACAATAATAGTTTCTGAATTTTATGTGTTTTTAAGGTTGAATAGCAAAGTTCGCATTGATGTGTATAAACATTATCTCTCAAAACACAATGCACTAGACATTGTTTCCAGTTATGATATTGTCGCCGATTGTACGGATAATGTCTCTACAAGTTGTGTGCTTTTCTGGTTTCTTTCAGAAAACTCCTAAAATGGAAGAGTTGTAGTCTAAATTTGTTGTAGCAAATTTGGTTTGGAAGTTTCAGGCTTCAAATTTAAGGATCATTACAACCGTACTGAATAGAGAATTCAAACATTTACAACACCGTAGAATGGAATAAACTAACTTTTTTTTGTGTTCATTATTTTTAGGTATTTGGTCAATGATGCTTGTATATTAATGAAGAAACCATTGGTGTCAGGAAGTGCTGTTCGTTGGGATGGTCAGTTGTCCGTGTACGGTTATGGTGAGGTAGGGATATGCTTGAGATTTTCAGTACTGCTGAAACTGCAGCGAAAGATGTTGTGTTGGTCTATAGACGGTGCAAGTTTTCAATTTCACATTTTCCTTTCATACAGTGAGTCAAACTGAGCTTAAAAAATGATATTTGAAAATTTCGTTTTAAGGGTTGTCCATGTTACCGCTGCTTGTTTCCTAAGCCTCCTGCAATAGATGCCGTAACAAAATGTTCAGACAGTGGAGTGCTTGGACCAGTAGTTGGTGTAATCGGTAGTATGCAAGCCGGTGAAATCATTAAAATTGCTGCGACCAAAAAAAGTCTTTGATTTTGAATTTCCATTCTTTGTAACCTTTTGTTTTGTTATGCCAATATTTAAGATGTTGTTGCAAAATCGTAGCTTTGTTTATCGATTTATTTCAGGCTGCTTTGCTGGTTTCTTGTATTTGTTCAATGCTTTAAATGGTACATCCAAAACCATCAAATTAAGACAACAAAAAGATGATTGTGCGGTGTGCGGTAAGAGACAAACAATTACTGAACTTGGAGACTGTAAAGAATTATATGGGTGTTCAACCAGAACATGTGTAAGACTATTAATTAAAAAAAAAAAAAAAAGAGACAGGTTGGAAGGCACATTATTTCTAGATAATGATTTTGCTGGGAATGCGATATCCGTTTGACTTAATTCTTTTCCTTGTCAAATATAGATATCCTTGCTCAAGCAAAGGAAAGAAAAACTCGTACAAATTCCAAGGATAGAAGAAAAGATTTTATTTAGTGATGTAAGGCATTGTTTGTTGAAAAATAAATCATAGAATTAGAGCTTTTAAATGTAGTAAACTGCCTTTTATTTCGAGAACAAAAGGAATTTTTGACATGAAGTATTTAATGAACAAAATATAACTAACAATACATATAACAAAGATTGTATAAGGCAACTGAAGTCATTATTTAGCGAATTCGATGTTACTTTCACTTAAATGCTAATTAACAAGGAGCATTGCTTGGGTTTGTATATATCGATTCAAATAGAAATAAAAGCAAGTTGCTATGTCAGTAGCTTTCAGACCAAGATGCTGACGGAAAATGATCGTATTGATCCATATTCTTATTTCAAACTCAGTGAAAACAGTGACAAGAAGCCAATTTTGATAGATACAAGATGGCCTCACGAGTTTAGCATTGGGCATCTACCAAATGCTATCAGTAATTTCACTAATTTATTTTGGCATACTGATGTATTATATTGGGCATTCTTTTTGATATTAAAAGAAACTTATGATTTTCGAAAAATAAATCTCACTAACACTTTCCAGATATACCGATATTAAAACTCTGTTGTTTAACCTCAGCAGATGTGGTGCGCGAATTAGAAGCAGACATCAACGAAATGAGAGATAGAGGAGGTTTAGTTTTTGCAGTTGTGGACATAAATTTCTTTTCTTTTTTCATCTTATTCAACCTTCCATGTGAGTTAATTTTCTTCAGAAGTAATTCTTACATTTTGGAAATATTCAGGAACAGAGTATGTTATTAAATATGAGTATGTTATTAAATATTTAAGAAAAAAAGTGTGAAGCTAGTTTCGTAAAGTTACATGATGGTCATTCTAAGGCTACTGAAACATAAAGTGATTTTTGCGTTGGAACTTCAATAATTTTTATGCAAAAGAAATGCAAGTGGAATCCTTGGAGTCAAAATGGAAATTTCTGTTTTCCAAAAAGAAAATCGGTACAAGAATGTGTGACTGAATATGACAACATCTAAGCGTTAATTCGAGGGACTCTGAAGTTCGTGAAATGTGTAGGTATTCTGAGTGCTGAGTTTCGGAGAAGGGATCACTGGGTTGGTCCCTTAGTCGTATCTTGCCGAAAAGACTAATATCATGTCAGAAATGTGTTTTAATCTCTGATCTATTTCATTCATTACCTTCGTGTATTTTGCAGTTTACGTGATTTGTCGTAAAGGTGAAGATTCGCAAATAGCTGTACTGTATTTACGTAAAGAATTTGCTGATTCTTTGGTTCCCTTCAAGGATATCAACGGTGGTTATGAGAATTGGTCGCAAGCTGTTGATAAGGATTTCCCAATTTATTGGAACACATAATTTGTTCTTGTGAATTTATGTTAAATTCCCAAGTTCCGTGCTCTTCGAAAACGTCTCAAACTAGTATTTCTTGAAGATCGTCTAAATACCTTTCCGGATAAATTCAGCAATTGATTCTTGCTCAGGAATAAGATGAATTTTATTGACGAAACTTTGCAAGTGAACTCAATTAATAAATTCACGAGTCAGTTTTCTTTCTGTTATGTTTGTCATATTTTTTAAAACATGGAAGTCATTACCTCACAAACTCAGCATATTTTTGTTTATCGTTAATTATTGTTGCATCAATATGAAATTACTGTTTTACTTATGTTGTCATACCATTCTTAATATTTCTAATTGCTTTTTCAAACAATTATTGTCATCGTCACTTTAAGATTTAAACTTCAAAATTAATGTTTGCTTTCATTAAAATTTTCTTTGTCCAATTCTTGTGTTAATGAAATAAAGCTTTGTTTTCGTTTTATCATTAAGTATATTAAAGTTTTCTTCAAATATTCAGAAATATTGCAGAATTGACCTGGCAATTTGATAGGTGCAATGTGTTTCGTGCTTGTGTCTTATACTGGCATGGAACCTGAATAGGTCACTTGAAGGTGATCCCTGATGTAATCTCCCAAATCATAGTTTATGACCGTAGGAGGTTTTCAGTGGTTCGTTTCGCTTATCTTCGGTCTGAAATATGACACCAGTGCATCAGCACACAAGCAAAGATTCTAAGTGCGGTTTAGGTAACTTCGAAGACTGGATTTGTTGCTGATGAGTGGTAGAGAATATTTTTTCACAGTTTGTTTCTAGCAATGCGCGAAATATGTACTAAAGTTTACTGGATTGCCAGAGAAAATAGGAATATAGTTACGTCCCAGTAACTGTTTTAATTTCAGTTATTGCTTTTAATCATGAAGAAATCAAGCAAATATGGATGAATAGTAGTTCACTGTTGAGCAACATGCACCACCTAGAAGCACAAACAACCCATAGAATGCAATCAATGAATATACATATAAATGATTTTATCCCACGAGTGACGAAATATCAGAATTAGAAATGGAGTTTGTCATTTCAGATGCTAATAAGACGCGTTCTTTACACATTTTGATTCAGACACATAATTGTGCAGCATGGCACAGTGTTGTAGCACACACTTTCCCACCGTGTCTACTTAACACTTCTGCATCTATAGCTTTCCTAAACCATTCTAATCGATTAACTTATCAGTGTTTACCAACCCTCACATTCGCAAACTCCAACAACAGTTCATTCAAGTTTAAATATGTAAGGAATATGGATGACTGTACTGTACATGTTGATACAATGGTGTATGTGTGTGTGTGTATATATATATATATATATATATATATATATATATATGTATACAGAGGGTATCTACATATCGATTTCTCTGGTTACAGTGCAGGGAAATGGAAGCAACATTAGCTTCCAAATAGTGAACTCCACTAAACAGTTTGTTGTCTCTCTATCAGTGACACCACCTCGTCACTTTAGATAGTTCTGCAAGTAGTATTCCACCCAGTAGTTCCACTTGTGTTAGCAAATACTTTGCAACTTGAAGTCCGGAACTAAAGTACCAAGGCTTTCATCTTAAGTACATGTAAGGAACATTTAGAAATGATAGTTTATTCGAGAAATTGGATTTCTTATTTAATGTTTTCCCTGAAGCTATCATAGAAGCCTTCGATTTTAGGGGGAGACTGTCAGGTACATTCTCATTATAAAGTGAAATAATACAATATGTAAAAATTAATAATTAAGACCAGTCTTTTGGTAGACCAGCTGCAAAGCTGTCATGCAAACCTAGAACAATATATTGTTCTTGAAGCCGTATCCAAATTACTTCTTAGTTTTTAAGCGCTACATAACACTACTGGAATATTGAGGTGATCAGTGTGAATTAGACCTAAGCTACTGCAAAAGATTCTTAGGATCGTACTTTCCGTTTGTGATTCTAATAATTACAAACATTTGTGTCTTCTAAATTTGACTTTCAAAAATTGGTAATTTTAGTATCTGGCTGTCTTATCGGAAATAAATTTCAGCGTGACACAGGAAGGAAAAAACTGTTCCATTAATGCGTTGGAATATGCTATGAAATAAAAATAGAAGACATTGGTGATTATAATTTCGAATAAAATTGTTATGCTTGTGTCCATGTTAAGTTAGAAAGGTATAAAATGCTCCCTCCAACCTCCCATTTACACTGTTAATTCATTCAACACCGTTTTGAAGCAGAATATCATAAAGCCAGTACTCTTATTTACTGTGATTTTTCATCAGTTTATACAGAGTGTTTCTGTCTTCTCTTGAAATTAATTCATGCATTGTAAATGGTTGAGAAGTGGCCACACGTGTTGTCGAGATCTGAAAAACTCCATCTCCATCAATCGTAATATGTTTGGAAGGTAGGCAGCTAGGCGCATACGAGCAAATTCTGCCTAGTTCATGCGTTTATTCATAGTTGTAGGGTTCAGGAAAAAGAAGTGGAAAAGTCAGGGAAATCAGCTGATCATTAGGAAAGTAGTGGGAGTTGTAAACAGTGACTACTGATGGACAATATTTTGAGTATTCATTAATGTTAATGCATGGTATGAAGTCGCCTGTTTTAGTGAGAGTAATAGCTCTTAAGCGAGACGGGTACGACATGTGATGACCCTCCATGAAGTGATCGACTTGGACACATGTCTGTGTACTCTTGTTGTAAGCGTCGCTTGTGAAGCATCAATAAAGCCAGAAATCGCCCAATAGGCCTACCCTTTCTCAACTAGAAAACTCGGCAAATAGTAAAATAGGACTGTTTCAATCGAATAATTAGAACGGCGGTCCATTCTGTTTTCAAAAAGGTAATCAGGGACATCCACTGACAATGGAATTATAAGTACGATTTTTGTTCTAATCAGATCCTCATTCTCCTGTATCTTTCCGTTTTCCTTTCTTTTCTATATTGCTTTTCATGAAAATCCAAATGCACACTTAAGTGTCATCTCCCTTCATTTTTGTTAATCATTCTTTTATCTAGACACTTCCAATGCTTGCGTCCTTTCTTGCTCAATTCATCTTTGAGGACAGTTACTGCATTCCACTCTATCAACCACTGAATTGTTCGGCTTTGTCTCGATTTCCCAGATTTTAAAGCTCTAACAACATAAGGCTTTACAGAAATGCTCACTAATGTATGTCGATCGATAACATTATATGTGATTCTTTAAAAGAAGAAATGGAACGGTATATAGTACGTACCATTACTGTTTTGCTTGCCAGACGTAGCTATTTTTTCTAATCATTTCAGTCAGTGGAATGTTACTTTTTTATTTAACAAACCAATAGTTTATTACTTTTTCTCACTGCAACCTGTGGAGTAATAACGTCTTGTTGATATCAAAAATAATGTTCTGAAAACTGGATAATTCCATTCAATTCTTCTGTCGGTTGGGTTAATGATGATAATCGATCATATAGCAGTGACTTTGGCTTGTTTGGAACTTTTGGCCCGGATCATGATAGGATGTCTGGGTTGGGCTGTGAGCTGATATTTGGAAAAGTCTGTAATTCCAAATTATACATGAAAAAGGAAGAAAGTAATATTGGATAAAAGAGAATTTGAAGTATAAGTTATGTAATCCTCGAAATTTTATTCCTTCTTTTGATTTAAACTGAATTTCAAGTTGGAGAAAGCTTCACTGATCATTGGAAGTGTGGAGAAGGCTTCATTGATAATTGGAAGTGTACTACTCTTGCATATCCAATGAACGTTACACCCGTAACTTTTTAAGGACTCGTTTACTTCAGTAAGTCACATCTTTTCATTAAGAAAGGGTTAAAAGTGGTCGACTACATGCGTTGTTCAGGAATGCCACTACAAAAGTGTTGTCCTTATTAAATCGAGATGACGGAAAAGTGTATTTCTTTTAGTTTGTGAACTTATTTCATTTGTTTTGATATTTATACTCGTAGCTCACTCCAATTACAGCGTGCAACTCTGGAAATATCAACATTTTTGTTAACAGTTCACTTGCTTTCACATGTTCCAAATGGAACCTATTCCGGAGGAAGATCACGACCTCGCTTCATTTTCACCTGCACATTCTGTTAAGCATGAAAAGAAGTCTCGATTAACGGAAGTGTATACATCTGAACAAGTAGACACTCTTGTAAGGTATGTTTCATTCTTGTGAAGCATGGATCTATATTACATCAAGCGATGCAATTCATTAGCTGATAAGAGTGAAAATTGGTGTTTTAAGCCTCTGAGGAGTGCGGAATATTGTTACGGTTAGCATGTTTTTAATATTCCTTGCAAGTTGTAATATGATATACGTCAGAACTGCTTTTTGAATTTTCAATAAATGTTGCAGCACAGTACCTCAGTCATCAGTACCAAATACATGGAAGCTAAGGAAGAAAGATGAACTAACACATTCAGTGTATTTTTTTTTTTTTTTTTTTTTAAATACGAAACAAATCCAAAATTAGTTTTGCTAATTTTCTGGATGGTGTCACTGTCATTTGAAACAGTTTTTATAATTTCTTGTACTCTGTAATTAATCAGTTTACTGATCCCACATTGCTCCAGTATCCCTTCAACACATTTGTCCGAAGCTTTATCTGGGTCAACTAGTGCACGCGGCTCGACGTATTCTTATACTTATGAATCGCATTATGATGAACCTCCCGATGAAGCAGTACCCGGTGTTTGTTTTCTAAATAAAGAATTTAATGGTGACATTGAGCGGCATTCATCTCAAACAAAAAAAGTTCGGCTTTATCGTATATCTTTTACCTGATTCAATTTCTGAGATATCTCTTATTATCATTTATTCAATATTACACTTTATTTAGCATCATTGCTGACTCTGATGTATTAGGAATAATACAGGTGATAGCAGTTGCATAAATTATTATTTTTTGGAAAATTGTAGATAACTCGCGTTACAAAAGTAACAACAACCAGATCGGTGCGCCATTTACCTGTTGCTGATGAAGAA